GGGGGGGGGGTGGCTAAAGCAAGCAAGATGAGGCCACACAGCTAGCCCCTACTCACCTGGTCCTTCCTTTATTCCAAGGGTCCGGGGACTCGAGCTTGCTTTGAAGCAGAGGCCCCATTCCCTCCCTCAGGACGAGGCCGCATGCTCTTTGCCCCTCCTCTCTCATGGGGAGAGAACTCTGGGACACAACTGGATGCGCTCTTATCCATGTCCTTCTCCTGGGTTCTAACGACAGGACCCTGCAATCTCACTGTTCTGGGCCCACTACACACATTCTCAGGTTTGTATGTGAACCCAGGCCCTCAGCTTCATCTCCATCTTGAATATGGAGAAACTGAGGCCCAGGACACTAGAGAGACCTTTATTACTTAGTATCCCTGGGAGAAAACAACTTAGGGCAGGTTACATGCACCCTGAATGCTGTGATAGAGAGCAGACACTCAGTAAATTCCTGCTGATGGATGCACGCCTGGAAAATTTCAAACTCAGGACGAAACTATAAACATCTGGATAATTTCAGGGAAATCTTTCAGTGAAGTTGAAAGGCATTATACTTCAGGAATCAGGAATTTCACTTACTGATCACTCAATTATCTGCTTCCAATTAGATCAAACTGGTAACTGTATGAGATCAGATCTGTCCTCCAAGACAATCTACCAGGGGCGTTCAAAACATAACTGACAGTAGAGATGGAGAAGGGATGTGTGCCAAACACAGACGTGGGCTCATCCAGCCCTGGGATATGAGTGCATTCTCAGATAATACAGAACCCTATTACAATGGCTTCTGTTCTTTCAATTAAAAATGCTTAATGAATTGTTGGATTTTATAAGTGATCTAAATTAATGGAGCTATCAGGGGTACAATAAGAGGAAATCATGACTCAGAGGTAGGTGGCTTAGAGGAAAAAACTTACATATATGATGACAAAGATGATGGACAAACTTGCTGAGTACATGGGAAGAAAAGTCCTCCTACAGAAGGAATGTGAGTCCAGGGTGGCTCAGCCACATTAAAATACAACAAGTAAGAAACGTGGACTTAATCCTCCATGTCAAAAACAGCACTGCCCAGCACTCAGGGAAGCGTGAGGAGGGCAGCTGGGGGCCTGCCGGGAAGGCACCTGGGTAGCCACCCATGGTTTTCATTCGAGATTGCAGGTGCAGAAGTGCCATGGGAAAAGCGAGCTGAGATAATTTCAAAGAAAAGGGCGCAGGCCTGGCAAGAGACTGGGTACAAATCGACAATGGTTACTTCAGCCGGCCCCACAAAAACCTGCTGTAGGAAACAGTGTTCTCCTAGCTTCTAGGCTCCAGTCAATACCAGATGGGCTACGGGGGGTTAATAAGCTCTTTGGGGGCAAAAAAGGTACCACATAGCTCTGCACTCAACTCAATCCAGCAGCATGCACACTTCGGTCTCCCTTCCAAGCCTCATGTCTGCCCTGAGACGAGCAGACTGAAGCGGGTTCTACCACTTCTCCATGGGCCCCTGAATCTAGAGCAATGCAAACACTCTACAGAATGCTCTAACACATCATTGTTGAAGATGTTAGACCCTCATCTAATAATCCCACATCTGCTAACAGCAATATCCAACATCAGACAACACCGAACTGCTCTGACAGAAAGCGTCTTTTATTTCCCATGAAGTGAAAATCCAGTTAGGGTTTAGCAAATCTGGGAATAAGAATAAACACAACTCCTTTATTTTATGAATGATTAGTGATTTCGGTCATTATTATTAAATCACGGCCTAGCAATTTAATTACTTGCTAAATTCTTCAGTGAGTGTCAGCTTCGAAAACTGCAAGAAGGTTCTCTAATGGAGTTTCTTCTTAGAAACAGTTCGAACTCCAAGCCTGAAAGGTGTGCAGAAGGGTCCATGCACACCCAACCCTGACAGGACTCCTCAGCACTCTGCCAGCAGGTCTCACCTGTCTCTGCTCCCCACCCTCGGCCGCCCACCCACACCCTGCCCCACCAACCAGCAATATCGCTTCAGTGGCCAGACAGCCAGAGCAGGCAAAGCTGCGCCACCAAGGGCCGGCACCAGCCCACGACACCGTGGCCAGCCTGGCAGTCCCAGCGGCCCTCTCCTGTCTGCAGATCTGAGGACGGCTTTCCAGGCCTGGCTCTGCTGCTCTGAACATCACCACCTCCTACTTATCCACCCTTTGGATCACATTCAATATATGTATTAGCATTCTACCCGACAATACTGTGAACTATGTATTGTCAATTTTTCCCATAATATATAACTTACTACATATGACTTTTAATTATGTGAGTATCCATATACATTTTCTAAAAAGCTTCTCAGGCAATTTGGATGGCCTGCCAAATGTGGAAGGCTCCTGAAAGCCAACTGTAGGGGAGATTCATCCATGAGGCTGACCCTCTGTCACAGACGCACAGGGACTGTGCGCAAGTCACCAGAAGTGCAGCCTTCCACCCTCCCACACCCGGCTCCTCTCCTGCTACGACAAACACATATGTAACCAAACGCCTCTGCAAACAACAACAGCCAAAATCACACCATATTTTGTAAGTGTGACTTCAAAAAGTTTATCATGTTCTTTTCAAAATTCCAAAGCTACTTCATCTAGGTCGATATTATCTATTTATGGATTTAACACCCTCTCCCAATTTTTTAATTTTCAAGTAAGTTTTGTAATTTAAAATGTCAGTTCCAGGTATGAACATTTTTCTTGAATCCCTGAGAGAAGATGCGACTGAAAGCAGAGCGAGCAGACCGCTGAGAAGGCTGCCCCTGGCCCTGCTCTGGCCTTACTGCTTCCGGGCCAGGGCACCCTGAAATAAAGGATGCCACAGACTGTGTTTTGAGACAGTCCCCCAGGGAGCAGTTCATTCACTTCCACACCCTGAGCTATCTTTGCAGGCATCTCTTCTGATTCCCGCAACCTCTCCAGCAATCACCTGGCCCACATGCTCTCTTTTTGGTAACTTCACTCCAGGTGTATTTCTGGTTCTTCCTTGAGAGCAGCCTGGACCATTTTACACATTTACTTAGCACCATGTTCTTCGGTTTGCATGTGAAGGATGCACAGGGCAGCAATATCTATTTACTGAGATGGTAACACAACTAGCCATTATGTACATGTCACAGACAGACCTATTTATGCGACTACTCAGATCACTTAAATATTTGCAAACCTTATTTCCAGTGGCACTATCTCGAAGCTCTAACCAATTAAACGCCAAAGATACTGAAAAGTCACGGTGAATATGTTCTAGGATCTGAGGGGCTACAACACAGGTATCAGATGAGCCTCGATGGTGTGCCCCAGGGGCAAGGGCTACATACTACAGATGGAGAAGTCCACTCTAAGTAAGAAGAGCCTTCCAAAAATTAATAGATCTCATCACTGGTAACTCTGCAGGGCCTGGAGAGCGACTTGTCAGAGATGAGGCAAGGAGGAAAAAGTAAGTAAAAATAAAAAATAAAAAAGTAGGGGTGACAGGGAGCAGAACCAAAAACCCACTGAGGTCCTGCGCACCCAAGATGGAAGAGAATCTATGCCTCATTTAAAATCTGTTTAAACAAGGATTTTAATTTCTGTATATGGGCCTGGAGGAAAACAAAGCTAGTCCCCAGTTACGGAGCTGCATGACTCGACCCTGCCTGGGCCAGCAGAGAAGAACGTGGTGCATGAGGGAGAGAGAGCAGGTTATAGACACCGAACGAGACCTGAGCGTCACTGACCGCAATCCCGTGTGCTGGTGTGCACGTGTGCATGTAAACAGTAAGAAGTGAGCAGCACACGTTCGATCACACGTACAATGGACTGCACGAAGACCTCATCTCTGACAAAGTCAGAGAAAACATTAATTTATAAAGAAAGAATGTGACTGAGGAGAAGGAAGTGAGAATGCATCTAATATGTGGTGGTAAAAAGCCATCATTATGGTGAGGTTTTGGTCGGCATCTATTATCACACTTTTATTCTCCCACCAAGACGTGATCAATAACAAGAAAACATTTCATAAAACAGACAACTCACCAATCAGCCTCAGTATCGATGCTATAATAATATCAGGAGTATATGCAATGTTCGCGTGTCCTTTTCTGTATTTTATCCACTTATCCATTACAGGCCACAGCTCTTTACTAGAAAACAACAATAGCATATATATATACATATATATATGTATACTTAGGTACACGGACGTGAAAAGCATGCATGCTCACCATCACTCAAATATTAACTTAAAATGGCCCGTAAGAAATAGACAACTGATAAAGAAGAGGGACTTTTCTTATTTTTAAATGCCCAATGTGGGGCTCGAACTCATAACCCTGAGATCAAGAGTCACACGCTCTACTGACTAAGCCAGCCAGGCACCCCAGAAGAAGGTCTTCTGAAGATGTAACCTTCTAGGTTAAAATAAGATCAGACACTGGAAGCTCATATACCCTCCAACTATTTCGATATTTGGGCCCACACTGGCTTAAAAAAGGCTACAACTACCTATGCTTGCATCTTTATTCCTTTTTTACCCTTTTTACAAGGCTGTAAGTGGGACTCTGGACAATGTCCCCAAGTCACAGAACTGGAAGAGGCGGGAGACTGGATTTTCACTTGGGACCTCCCAGACAAACATGTTCTAGAAGCCTCTATCATGTTCCGAGAGGAGCACGGAGCTCAGAGGCAACACTCAAACCACACGTTAGAAACTCTCTACTGACTGGAAACAGTGTCAGCTCCTCTTTGCTTTCTCTTCCTTCCAAAGTATAATTACTTCTTACACGGTATTTACAGTATCAGAAAAGTTAAACGCCAACACGCAAAAGAAAAAGGTAAATTAAAAGCACCCCAAATAATACCTTTTCAGATAACATTACTCAACTAATTCGGGACTTTTCTTTCCCTGTGCTTCTCTAGGCGCACGTACGTATAAGCCCGGTGGACGGGACCACAGCGCCCCAGGCTCCAGGTGTGGCGCTGCTCAGGCAGAGATCCTGCTCAACACTCTGTCCTCTCCCCCAGCGGGGGTGCCCAGAAGCACTTCTGGGGGGCTTACCTGTCACCTCGCCTGCTGGGCTCCCCCGAGGAGTCAGGAGACAAGGCCCACAGGAGGCACTCACAAATTTACACTGACGGCCCTGGACGACCACACCGTCGCTCCCTTAGTCAGCAAAGCACGTGAGCTACTCCCATGTCACTACCTAAACATCCACTTACAGCGATTATTTTACTGTGGCAGTATCTCATTGTATAGAAGTACCATAATTCGATTCCCTATCATTTGACATTTAAATCTGTTCCTAGTGTTAAGGAGGAGAAGAAGAGAGCACAGTTTTCCACAGAACACATTCAAGTATCTCCAGGATACGGACTATCAGTCCTCTGTGAATCCTAATTTTTAATGTCATAAACTCCTTTAAATCAGCCTTTCTCAATCAGGCTTCCAAGAAAATTAAGATCTACAGAATAATCAGCTGAATGACAATTTTCTACGTTCTCCCATCTCCCATTCTCCCAGAGATGGTATATAGCTAGTGCCAGAATTCTCCATGCACAGAGAAAAGTGGATTCATTATATAAAACAGATGCCCGAGACATAGTTCCCTCCTGAAACCCAGGTGAGAAGAGCTGCTAACGTGGAGTTCTTGCTGTGTCCGTTCACATGGGTTTTCCAGAGCATCTGAACGTTAAGATCCAATCATGACACTTCCTCCTACACTAGCCGTGGATGGCTCCCTTTGTGGGCACTGCTGTATGAGCTGGGGACATGCCAGTGAACCCAAACCCCTCCTTCATGAGGGTCACTGCTCCTTGGGAGAGAGACACTAGTTAACAGAATATAATGAAGTCACAGCCACCACAAAACATAAAGCAAGGGGATGTGACAATAATACAAGTCTTTTAATGGGAGTTTTACCAACTCTTACCAAATCAGAACGTCACTTTTAAATGTTTCAGCAACCTTCAAGAGCAAAAACTCTTCAAACCACAATTCAGCAACCATTCGACAGCCTACCTTCCAATTCAAGAACCCAACTTTCAGTTAGCCAAACAGCCTTGTACCTTATAATGTTATCATGTGTCCAAATCCATTTTTGATGGCAGCAGAGCAGATCAATGGCAAATATGTACTCCCAAGTGTTGTCACTTAAGTCTTCACCAAATTTTTCACTGGACTGAAATTCTGTTTTTGGACACAACTGTATGGTCAATAGCAGCTTAGAAACCATGAAACCCACATCCACAGGAGCATTCTAAGCAAATGAAAAAAGAAAAAAATAAATAAAATAAAATTTAGAGTTTCAAATATAACACTTCTTACATTAGTCATCTCATAGACTGTAACAAGCACCAAATGAATAATCATTTAATTTTAAAAGACACTTTCCGAAAGTTGTATTTAAATAAGGAACTATGTTTATCTTACTCATAATACTTGTCCTAAGATGATTATAAGCATAGAGGTTGGCAGGTCAGATAAAAAAGCTCCAGGCAGGGGGCGCCTGGGTGGCTCAGTTGGTTTAGCATCCAATTCTTGGTTTCAGCTCTGGTCATGATCTCAGGGTCCTGAGGTCAAGACTGGGGGCTCCACGCTTGAGACTCTCCCTCTGGCCCTGCCCCGCCCCCCTCCCCCAGGGTGCACATGCTTACACACTTGTGTGCTCTCTAAAATAAATAAATAAAATCTTTAAAAAAAAAAAAGAAAGCTCCAGGCAGGATACAGAATCTAGTCAGGTAGAAAGGAGATTAGCTGCAATCCAGATAGAAATGCAAATTTTTATTACCTCAAATCAGAGAAAGTTATAATATTTTTTAAACACTGAAAAAGCTCTTCAATTTCTATCATTCTTCTGACCCTAAATACCAGTCTTTTTACAGAACTCCATAAAATCGAATCAGCCAACACCATACTCCTTATCTGGCATCTTTCACACAATCGCACGTTTGATGATGCCCATACTGGTAGTCTTAACACTCCTTCCCGTCGGTGAATGTTACCCTTTTACATGATGGACCGGTCTGCTTATCCACTCACCTCCTGACAGACATCTGGGCTATGCAGCCTTAGGCTACCCATGATGCTGCTGCTATGAACATGCATGTAACACAGCTCTGTGTGGACATTAATTTAACTTCTCTTGGACAAATACCTCCAGTGGATTTATAATTTTTTCTTACTTGTGCTATTTTTTTATTGGGTTTTGTTAATAAAAACAAAAACTAAATAGACGGGCCCTTGGATGGCTCAGTCGGTTAAGTGCCCGACTCTTGATCTCAGTTCAGGTCTTGATCTCAGAGTCATGAGTTCGAGCCCTGCGTTGGGCTCCACAATGGGCGTGGAGTCTACATAAAAAAAATATGTAATTCAACAAATTAAAAATAAACAGGAAGAGGGGCGCCTGGGTGGCTCAGTTGTTAAGCGTCTGCCTTCGGCTCAGGTCATGGTCCCAGGGTCCTGGGATCGAGCCCCGC